TCCTTTGCACAGGTATAAGTGACCACGAAGGACATAGTAATGGAAATGCACACCTGTTGTGCAAGTCTGGAGGGGCAGCATGCCAGCTCTTGCAGCCGCGATGAGTGACTCTGAAGTGTACGTTGGCTGAGTTTCAGCTGTCCGTATCCCTGTGTGGGTCCCCATGCAATAATCTTTCGTGTGCGCTGGGAAGTAGAACAGGCACCTGTCGCTGCTATGCAAACATAAGCCCTAGACGTTGGCTCATGTCCCATCAATGCAATAATTTCTGATCAAGCTTTCAGATCCCCAAGAGGGAGCTGTGGGAATGCAGATTTTGGCTCCCTTGGCAGTTTGGAGGGGGAAAGCACCTGGAGCCTCCTCAGAAACATCCAGATTTTCTGGGTGGGCCAAACTGCAAGGGAAGTCTTATGTTTTCATCACAGGCCTTGTGACATTCAATTTCGATTTCTTTCCCCTGCATCTTTGTATCTTGAGCCCGGTGAGTTCACGAGATACATCATTCTAGTTTTTAAAAAGAGGAATCTTGTATCCCTGCCCCTTGTAAGTGCAGAGAAACATTTGGGAACATTTCCCAGTCAGCCCATAAAGGTTCGAAAGCCAGCAACATGTAGGATATTTTAAAATTCTCATGATCGTTAAGTCCTGATCTGGGAGTGGGGGGTCCAGAATCATGACTTTTGAATACCTGAGGTGGTGATGCTGAAAAAAGGCTGGAAGGACAGCCTATGCCAAGATACTTCTTGTTCTCGGTGGAACTAGGAAGTAGAAAGGTGTAGGGGAAAAAGTCTGAGATAGTAAATGGTCCTCTTGCATTTTTGGTGGTGTTCTTCTTCTCAAGTATTTTGGCCATTCATATTTAAACCCTCAGTGGCTATCTTTAATTGGCTACCGGGTAGAGTATAGTTGTATAGGGTATATAGGGGATGATCTAGTTGGGGCTGGTCCTGCTTTGAGCAGAGGATTGGCCTAGGTGACCTCCTGAGGTCCCTTCCAACCCTCACTTTTTTTTAATTCTATGACTGTAGGGCCCCAATTCTGGAAACACTTAGATGTGTGTCACATGTGAGTGATGCACTGGAAAAACAGCGGGGTTACTACTCATGTCTATAGCTGTTTGCAGGGTGGGGCTCCATTCTGGATCTGAATGAGTGGATTAAGGCTTTTGTGCCAAGGGACATTGCCCAGAATAATCATTCCAGAAGAGCTCCCTGCATGTATTCTGGAACAAAAAACACATCTCACTGAAATAATACATGAACTTACTTATTCTGGAGGGAAATCATTTGTACTCCAGAACAGGGGCCCATGCAGGAAGCTTTTGCAGATGAACTGCCGCAAAATATCTTATTCTATTGCAGTTATTCTGGGCAATTCCTCTACGTAGGCAAGCTCTCAGAAGGGAAGTGTTCTGTGCTCATTGCCACTCCACTGACTTGGAAAATTTCTCTGATGAGTATACACCGGAGAAACACTTCTTCCTGCAAACCTGAAGGAGGGAACAAAGATGAAATGCTGAAGGGTAACAGGGCAGATCCTTGGGGGTGTGAATCTGCAGAGCTTTATTCATTTAAATGCAGCTGTACAAAACTACACCAAGGAATTAACAAGTCCTATTGGGTAATATAAAGCCATGAGCCTGGTTCTGCTGGGAAGTTACGTGGGGATCACAGATTCACAGACATTAGGGCTGGAAGGGACCTCGTGAGATCATCTGGTCCAGCCGCCTGCCCCAGGGGCGGGAAGTCAGCAGGGGTCAGAGGACCCCAGCAATGAGACTATATTGGAAGCTGATTCAAAGTGATATGGGGGGGCTTAGTTATTCTGATCCTTTTGTGTTTCAGTCCCAAAAAAACACAGGGGGGGCCTTCCCCTTTCTCCCTCTCCCCTGCTTTTCCTGTGACTGGCCCTGCAGTCCCTGAAGTTGCTAAACGGCCAGTGAGGAAAGAAAAAAACACAAGAAAAAGTGAGGTTATTTCTCAACCTGCAACAGTGACTTCGGGTGAGCTGGGCCAGATCTTCAGCAGCTCCTTGTCATGCATTTGTTTCGGCAAAGCTACTTGGATTTTCCCCCAGATGAAAGTCTGTTCCCTGAGATCCTCTGGCACTGGCCTCACAGGTGCAAATTAAGCACGCAGCGTTAAAATCAATGCAAATAAGTAATATTGACTTTGTTTCAAAGGCTGACACATTCTGTGACCGTGCTCCCAGCTAAGCCTGCTAGATTCTCAAATGAGTTTGGCAGAATTGCAAAGAGGATGACTGCACGTGTGTTTCCTAAAGGGTTAAAGGTTTCTTGGCTGACGAGGGCAATCATGAATGTAGATAAACCAGCCGGGCATAAATTAAGGAACACAGTATTCAAGGCTGAGCGATTCCATCTAGCTCATTAACATTCTCAGGAGGTTTTCTTAGGCAGAGAGGCCCCTTTTACCTTTGCCAACCTATGAGGCCAATAACCTGTAATCCTGCCACCAAAAACAAAAACCCAGCACACGCAGTGAGTGGCTGCAAAAAGCACAGAATGGAGAGGTAGCGTATGCTCAGCTGACGGATGGTGACAGAAGGGTTTATTTCACAGTAGTCAGCTGACATTCAGGCTTGTGATGTTCTTTTTATTATTATGATTAGGATAATAACTCCCAGCTGCTGTCAAGAGACATGTCATTGGTTTTAAAATTGCAGGCCTTACCTGCTTCTAAGAATACCTGCATCTGATTATTTTTTTCAGTCTAACAAACAGTTCCCACTGATGCTGGTCGGCTGCTTGTTTCCATCTCTTTCACCTGGGACGGGCAGAGTCAGATTTTGACACAGGAAGAACCAAAGCACTACATTTTCCCCCTGCACATGCACTGGCCCTGACTTACATCCTCCAAAGGCACATATGTCTAATACACATTTCTCTGTGTGCTGACTGCTTAGCTAATCACTTTGTGGTGAGGCCTCAAGTCTTCCTTGCATTTGTAGAACAAGCTCCTTCCTGTTTGCCCCTGGACTGCTACTACCTCACTTCTGATAATATTAATACTGAAGTTATTGTGCTTGGCTTCCTAATATTGTCAGAGGATATTTAGGGTGGGATTCTCTGGTGTACCTGCTTCCCCCCCCATATCAGCTGGGAAGAGATGGCCAGTGTTAAAATGCAGAATACTTGGGATTAGTTTTTACTAACGGCTATAACATTTTTGCCAGTACTACAGTATTGTACAGTCTGCAATACCTGATCCAGTCTGCCTCAGTAAACCAATAAAACTGGGTCTTACTCATGAAGTCTGCCCCTCCTATAAATATTAGGCCCCCATTTCTACTGGTTGACCTCCTGGGGGCTCTTTTATTCCAAATACATAGATAGCACGGGCTTCCCTTGCTCCAAAAAGCATCTTGGTTCACTCATGTGGTCTCAGATAAAACCAGAGCAACTTCCCCAAGTGCAGCAGTTACTCCAGGTTTTCCTGAGACTCAGATTTAACCCACAGAGGTCTGAGAGTTGTATTTCTTGACCACAGTTCCGCATGGAAGAAAATAATTATTCTTCTAGTCATCAAACTATCACCCCAAAGCTCAGAAACAGTCTGCAAAGTTCACCAACTCCAGACACAAGCAGGTTGCCCTGGATAGGGAACAATTTCTCCAGTCTTTGTAGCTACAGCACCATCTTGTGGGGTTTTATGATTCATACCTTGATTTTGGGGAGGTTTTTTGCAGCCACCTCTTCCTGCCATTCTAGCAATTCTTACGCAGCACTGAGCTTTCACAGCCTCTGAAAACCTGGGGAGAGATGCTGACTTACACAAAGGCCTTGTTGTAGCGCATGAAATCATCTCTAGGTCCGTGTAGCCCCAGCAGCACAGAGCCCAGCACAGACAAACCGCTGCCAGATTGCCATGGCTCTCTAGGTGGATTTTGCAGCCCATACTTAGTTCTGTATGGCTGCTGGCAGCTCCCAAGCCAGCTAGCGTGAGGGTGGCTAGGGTATGTCCACAGGAATTGTGCTAGGTGGAAATAAGCATGCTCTAAGGGAAGCTGGAGGCAGAGGGCAGATGCCCTTTTTTCCTTGCCACCTGCTGTCTAGGAGAGAATCAGCACATGGCAATTTCTTACACTAAGATCTAGTGGCAGGTCTCCCTCATAAGCATTGGAGCTTGCTTTTGTTCTTACGATCACCCCAAATTATGGACGTCTCTCTCTGAACCTCGTGGCTTGCACCTTGCCAGCCTAAACACCCCATGCAGTTTCATCAGATACAGGAGTCTTCTTCCCTTCCTTGCTTTGCAGTGGGGCTTTCCGGGCTGTTAAACAGCTGCTGTGTTCCCCCCAGAAGCAGTTTCCTTTCAGTGACAGATTCATCCAGGGTCTGCATTCACTGAATACCCACAATTTTGGTCAATAGGAGATGTAGGTGCCCCTGGGAATGTGACCTATTGTTTTCATGAGAATTTTGTAAAAGGTCTTAGGATTGTTCAGGCTGAAAAGCACCAGAAAGCGAAGTTATTTCATAGACATTAGGGGCTGGAAGGGACCTCATGAGATCATTCGGTCCGGTCCCGCCACCCCACCCCCTCCGCCATAGGCAGGAAGTCAGCTGGGATCAAGTGACTCCAGCAAGAAATATAAATATAAATTTCCTCATTCTTTGTATAGGAACATGAGCAAAATTTCAGGAGAGCAATACTGTATGCTGAACTAAACAACTACTTGACCCTGTTTGGAAGATCAGAGGTTGAGCCACTGCCTAGTAATAGCCAGTTATCATGTAACTGGAGGAGTCTCAGGCAGGGGAACATGTTGGTGCTTGTCCGAAAGTTTGCAGTTTAAAAAGAGTATCAGAGACAGCTTTTGTTTAACTGCCTGGGTAGATCTGGAGTGAAGTTTAGTGTCATTCCTACCATCTCAATTGCATTCACTTTCAGCAGCTCTGAGCAGCTGACTCGCAGCTTGCTGATGAACTGGATTTTATAGTTGTTTGCTTGGCAAGAGACTTAGTTAAAGATGAGGCGAGCAATGACTGTGTGACACTGACCCAGAGACGCCCATTGTACGGTGGAATGCGGGCAGCGCCGCTGAACGGTGACATACCTGTGGGAAACCAACATTATCCTATTAACCACCAGCAGCCAGATCCTCCTCCAGAGTCACTGAGTAAACAGCACCTGGCACCTCACAACGGGCAGATCACTAAGAGGACAGTGCTGTCATCAAAGCCTATGTGCTTTAAGCCTAACCAGACCAGACAGGCTCAAGGTGAGAGCGACTGACCCTTTCCACTGGCATTCTTGTGCATCTCAAATCTGCTTGAATGATCTGAGGGCTCCCTAGCCTTGCCCCTCTCCAGCTTCTTCCCTGCTTGGCCTAATTTTCTCTGTTTAATTTGCCTCCAGCTGGCAGGCACACAGGAACAACCCTCCAGCAGCTCGCAAACTCTGCCATCCCGGATGAACAAACCAGCGCGCGAAGCCTGGCACTCAGAAACATCCCTGCAGCCATCAAGCAGTGGGTACGCTCACACCCAGGAGCTTTCCTCTGCTAGATGAAGAAACACACGTGACTGCGAAAGGAAAATGAGCGGTAAGGAAAGTAATTGTTGCGACAGTCTTCCATGAAGTTAGATGAGCTTTATTTGATTTTAATCATGGCGTGTGTCTCAAATGGTATCTCCTTACTCTGTTAGTAGCCAGAAATCCTCAGGGCCAGCCTGCGATATTCCTTATGGAGGAACAATACCTCCACGAGCAGTGAGCTCAGCCCCTTTGGGGAACAAAGGGCTTGTTGTTTGATCATCCTTTTTCATTTGGACTCGGGGCAGCAGATCCCTTATTAGAATACTGCTTTGCACACACAAGTGCAGCTGGTCTTGTCATTGTGGTGCTGAGGGGATAGTGTTTGAATGCCCTCCCATTGTTTTATAGTTAATAGGCATGGAGCTAAAGAATGATGTGTCTGTAAACCTACTGCAACCTGCAGACACATCTTCACAGCAAACTTACCGTGGCAGGCAACGGTGCCTTCAAGCCCAATGTGCTGCTCCGAACTGGAAGCAGTGTAGCTGCCTTTGTGGAGTATTGCACCCTTGATGATGCCTGCCCGCAAATGCCAGCAAATCTTGCTATGCTGCTTCTGATTCAGGAGGCCGTCTTATCCGAAGCAGCGTGATGTCTGAGGACCTGGCAGCCTCACATCATCAGACTGTGGTGTGTACATGTCCTGCATCCCCCAACATGGCTAGAAACATAGATTTACGTTATGAAACTTTAGTGAATTATTAACTGGGACCATGTCAACCTACAGCAGGTGGAAGTTTAAAAGTTCATGGAGGGCTTGTGAAAGAGGACAGAGTAACAGGCCTGCAAGCCACAACCCAGAGCAGATACAAGGGGAACCGACCACCCCACCAGCCCATCACTGCTGTTCTGAAAGGTGCTTCCTGTACGCTGAGGATAAACTGTCCATATAATCCTTCATATCTCTGCTAAGGCTACCAAAAAAGAGCCTAATCTGTGACTTTTAGGATTGTGAAAAGGCTGAGCACTAAACATGGAATGAGAACACCTAATCTGTTTCAAAGAGGCTAACAAATAGTGATGGTTTGGGGGCACAATTAGATTCAAAGTTGTGCGATAGAGACTCTATAACCTGTTCCTAATGCCCTTAACTCTTGAAATGCCCTCATCTGGTGATAAGGAAAGAATAATAAATGAAATTAGTATACATATGGTTATTTCTTTCTTGTAAAAAAACAACAAAAAAAGGAATGAGACCAGATGCCGAGCTCTTGAGGAGGTGGATGGAGCTGAGCGAGGAGGTGACGCTGGAAGAAGATGCAACGGAGAACCATTCCACATCGGTTAGGCAGATGGAGAATAACACATCATCGGCCTGTGTGTGGAGGGATCTGCACCTGGCTGCTTGGAATGGTAACACACATCTGGTGAAGCAGCTGCTGAAGCGGGGGGCAATGATGGAGAGCAGGTGAGCACCTGTTGGCCGATAGCTGCCGTGTTATTTCAGGCTTGTCTTGCTTGTTCTCTGCCTGTCGCTCTCTGACGTAAACACCCTGAGTTTTCCTTGCTTCAACCCACCTAGAGACCAAAATGGATGGACGCCCTTACACGGTGCCGCACTGAATGGATACCTCAGCATGGTTAAATTCCTCGTGCAGCGTGGCGCTGCAGTCCATGCCATGGATCAATCACGCTACACACCGCTGCACCATGCTAGCTGGAATGGCCATACCCAAGTGGCCGAGTTCCTCCTGGCTCGAGGAGCCTCAGCAACAGCAGGGACCACAGCGGGCCTGACCCCACTTCACTGCACAGCAGCCAGTGGTCACACCCTCATTGTGCAGTTGCTGCTACAGCAAGGCACAGATCCTGCCGGTAGGGACACAAATGGGTGGACAGCACTGCACTGGGCGACTGTGAGCAGCCATCTGCATGTCATGGACTTGCTGATGTGCCACGGCCTCTCCCCAGACCTGGGCAGTGATGGAGGCATCACAGCATTGCACGTGGCAGCAGAGACTGGAAGAAGTGACATTGTAAGGTTCTTGCTTGCAAAGGGGGCCAATATCGATGTCAAGGATGGGCTGGGGAGAACAGCACTTGCCATTGCTGCAGACAACGGTGATCAAGAGGTAGGTCTGTAACATGGTGATACTTCGTTATCCATTGATCAGGGCCAGCAAGATAGGAAAGATGGCCACCAGATTCTCTCCAGCCAGCTTCTTCAGTTAGAGTGGTCTAAGATGAGCAATGATGCTGATTTACTCAGTTGTAGGTAGGACAAGCCTGGCTGATATTCTCAGCTGTGGACCATGGATGTTGTTTATGGCTTCCGGACACATACAGCTTTTCCTGTTGATTGTCCTCTGTCTTCTGATGTGCCTCAGCATGGAAAAAATGAACCTGAATTAATACAAGGTTACTCTGACTGGTTGGCTGTTTGTATAGAACTAGATAACTTCTGGCATGTGAACACCTAGTGTGTGCTCATGAGGTCTCTCTGCAGGGACAGTAAATGAGTCGGGGATTTCCTCCCTCAATGATCGGGACACAGGCGGGAATTCAGCTGGTGGCTTGGAGATACAACAATGGAAGAGAGGAATTAGGAAGAATTTTCTCACTAGGCAAGTAGTAAAACACTGGAACAGGCTACCCAGAGAGGTGGTGGAAGCTCCATCCTTGGAGGTTTTCAAAACCCAGCTAGACAAAGCTTTGGCTGGGATGATCTAGTCGGGGATGGCCTTGCTTTGAGCAGGGGGTGGATGTGACCTCCTGAGGGCCCTCCCAACCCTAACTTTCTATGATTCTAGAAAGTCAATTTTTATGATTTTATGAATGAAATAGCTAATGCAGACTTAAAATTAAACTAATGAATCAGGAAAAAATGTCTCTGCATAGACGTTTTCCCTAATAAAAATTAATCTACAGTGCTCTGCCCCTTTGGGAACTTCTCAGAGTAGCAGACTGCTAAAATGCTTACATGCTTAAACTGAAATCCTGGCCCTACTGTCACTGATTCAGTGGGACCCATTCCTTTGTGGGCTGCCACAACATGAACTCACTTTTTCTTTCCTCTTCCCCAGATTACAGGAGTGTTGCTGAAAGGCAAAGCCAATGTGCACCTGAAGGACCACTATGGCTGCACAGCTCTCCACAAAGCAGCAGCTGGAGGATACCTAACCATAGTGCACCTCTTGGTTAAGGAAGGAGCTGGTGTCAATGCTAAGGATGGTTTGAATCTGACCCCACTTCACAGAGCTGCCTACTACGGGCAAAGCAAGGAAGCCTGTTATCTCCTGGAGCATGGAGCTGACATCAATGCTGCTGGCTGGCTAAGCAAAACCCCGCTGCACCTGGCTGTGGAAAAGAATCATCTCCCTTTAGTGCAGCTGTTGCTGGGGAAGGGGGCTAGTCTCTCCCTGAGAACTTGCTGGAGTAAAACAGCAAAGGATCTAGCATTGCCAGGGACATTTCCTGGAGACTTGCCATCCGCTTCAGAGAAGCTGGCAGGTGTGAGCTGAACCAGCCTCCAGCCCAAATGCAGTAAGCTCAGCCTGACAGCAGAGAGAACAATTTTAACCTCCTGTTTTGTCTGACACCGTCGTGTGAAGGAAACATCAGATTATCCCAGCACTCCAGTACTAAAAGATAAAATTTGGCATTGCAAAGGAGCCCCAAAATGGCTGTGATGCATATTTACAGGTAAATCACACCAACTTTAAGGCACCTTTGTACGACTAGACTGCTGTTAGGGAGCCTTAGTGTAATCGTTGAATCATGGTCTGATTTATTAAAGGGTTCTGTCTTTAACAATGTACCGCTGTAATATGCATTTAATACTACGGAAGAGATTAAACCATTTACAGTGATGCATTTGCTATGAGAAAAGACAGTCAATGAACACCAATATGAATCCCAAGTCATAAAGAGAGGCAAAATGGAGAGGATGTAAGAGGTAGATTCTGGGGCCCAGGAAAGGATTGTGGGAAGAATAAAGCAATAGCAGAGCAGTGCCAGGTGAAGAAGTGTGATCAGACACATAGGCCAGGCAGCGAGACTGAGCAAGACCATCCTTAAAATGCTTGCTGTCACGTGGCAGTAGGCATTGTAACTGCCTGAAAATCCTACTGGTTTAGTTTTGTTGGAGAAGAAAGAGCAAATCATCAGACAAAGACTATTTCCAACCCAGGCACCCTCCTTTCCCTAGAACAGACCTTTGTATGTTAGAATGACGTGTTACTTTATTCAGTGGCTGGACGTTTAATAAAACTGCTTTCAGAAAAGAAATACTGAGTCAACTGGCAAATTTTAGTGCTTCCTAGCCTATGCTACAGGCACTTGTATCAGAAAAGCTGTTATTAAGGTAATAACTACACCTGCTGCCTCCCCGTAGGGCAAGATTCTAAATAAAGACAGAATATCATTTGTTTCCAGAAAGAAAAATAGCTCCAATCTGCAAAATGCTCCTGAGTAGTCATTTCCCTGCCTGCAGTTAAGATCTGACACATCCATTTCAAAGAAAGACCTGGGACAAGAGAGAGAAATATGTCAACAGAAGTTAAATGAAAACAAGGTTGGGTCTCGGTTAGAGGTGGCTGAATAGTATTTGTCAAGCAATGGCAGTAAACCATATTTTGCATTGCTCAACTGCATAGCTTTCCTGAATAAGGTATCCGTTGAATAATACATGATCCAGCCAATATTTTATTTGATGAATCATTTTATTCAGCTCTGTTCTCAGTCCCTCCTGTAGAGAATAAAACACGTTACAATAATTTTCACATCCATGGCCCCTTCTAGCCACTGGTGTCAAAGCACTTTGTTATTTACTTCTATTACTCATTTACAGAGCCCTTTCTGAGCATAGACTAAGGCACATTATTAACTCAACAAAAGCCTGGAGTCTCGGGCTCTGAGCCTACAGCTGGATCCCCCCCAGGCACATCCCTGCATCTAGATACCAGCTCTTGATATCAGCAGAGATCTGTGGGGGTGCAGGGGTCTGCTACATGCAGATTGTACAACTGGGGTCTACAATGAGCGTGGCAAAGCAAAAGACAATGGGTCAGGTCTGGAAAGAGAACAGGCAAAAGTGATTACAAGTGAGTTATTAGAGGTGAATTAGTGGGGTACAGCAATCACAAAACATACTGTCAAGCCCTTTATATCCTTCCCAGAGGCTCTTACGATGCAATAATTAATCTCCTCATAGAGCAAAATGAATTTAGCTGTACATTGCCAGGACAAAAGGAGCTAACCCTACTTCTCACCCCACCCTGGCCCTGCTGGGCTACCACTGTCAGCCCTGTAGGAAACTATGGTATTCCCAGGGAGCCTTCCCAGCCAGATTCTTATGGGGATTTCGATCTTCAGGGCGAACAAAAACCGACAATTTGATAAACAAACAGAATTTTTATTCAAATCTAGTATTTACACATTTCTCTCAAATGTGAACCTACTTACATTTGAAATGATGAAGCCCATTTCAAATTAAGATACCATCCTCTAGTAAAATCATTTACATTAAAAAATATATATTCAAGCAATATGTGTTTGCTGCTGACATTTTAAAGAAAGACAATCCACTGAATTGATGGCAGTTACTTGATAAGGCTTTGTTGAAGTGGCAAACTAGTCTGACAGCACTAGGAGGCAAGGAGAATATTTTCTCTCTTTCAGTTTAGCTGCTTCAGTTCAACTCTTTTTTCTTTCTTTCAATGTTTCAAAAATGATTGGAAGTGGGAAAAGCAGGGAAGTTTTCCTCTTTCCAACTTAGGTCTGAGGCTCTAGTTCTATGAACTTGGAGAACGTGGTGGCACAAAGGATCAGTTCAATTTATAAAATTCAAATCAAATTTCCTTTGTTTACTAAATACATTAGTTAAATACAAAACACATTTTGGTAAGCATACTCTCTTCTCTTAGCTATCCAGAACATAGTAGGTATTTTGTTTAATGAATAAAAAAAATCTTGAAATCCCATTTTTGTGTGTTCTTAATTGAATTCCCGTGTCTTTCTAAATGCAGATTCTTCCAAATGACAAGTAAAAAAAAAAAAAAAACTTCTTTTAAGTAAGAATATGTCATCCCCCATTTTTAATACCATAAAATTGTGAAGCATAACAATCTGATTAGATGGCTGTTAGGCATTAAAAATGCTTAAATAAATATGCATACACACATACTATGCTGTTCTGATTAGCAAACAGACATACCAGATTTATTGTAGAGGCTATATTTAGTTGCAAATCAATAGTTGTCTTCCAAATCAAGACAACCTTTCTGTCAGAAAATAATTAAAACATACAAATGCAACCTGAGATGAAGATTGTCAGTGTAATCAAGGTTTCTTCTTCGCTGGTTTACATTGTGAATAAAAATAGCGTTTTGAATCATGTGGATTTTAAATCAATCTGCCCTACCTGCCTTCCTTCCTTCTATCTGGACTGGCCTGCAGAGTCAGTGCTGCCTCATTATCTTCCCTTTGCACAAGGGGGAAGCTGGGCTAGCAACAGACTTGTCCCTCTGTTGACAAACAGGATAAAACCCTGCACGCTATCTTGAAAGGTTCTGGACTCAGAAAAGTTTGTAACTCCCAGACAGATCATCTCATTCATTCACTTCTCCCTATTCCCTACTTATGAAATCAGAACAAACATCACAACTGGAATAACTTTGCCCCTGGAGTGCAGTTATTACCGGGGTAGAACGAGAACAGCTGGCAAGCAGAGGGCACGGCTGCATGCAGTGTGTGTATAGGAGAGAAGAAGAAATATTGGTGGGCACCAAGGCAAAAGTCTTCTCTGGGTACCCACTAATACACTGCATACCTAAAGTACAATGTCTCTAACGATAACATGAGGTACATCTAACCTATATGTATATACACACATATACATACATACATATATAATATATGCGACACCTACACCTATTGCACCATTTTATTATTACAATTATTATTTCTAATGTCCAAATCAAATTAACTGTGTCTTTAAATATCCATGGGTCATTTAGCTTCAACCAGGCCAGTATCCTACCTCCCAGACTAGCAGGCCTGGGAACACAGACACTCCCTATATCCAGGCAGGCATCTTGTGTGCAGGTTTGGGCCTGGGAGTTCAGACACCCCCAGCCACACTGGAACAGTAAGGCTAAATCATCCCTGGGAGAGTTTCTCCTGAGAGCGCAAATGGCTGTACATGCTTCTCGGCCTCTTGAAGGCTCAGATCAAGCGTGGTGGCTTCTTAACATGGCAGAGGAAATACCATGTATCCGTGTCCAAGAAGGCAGTCTTCCTGAACCACTTTGCGGGAGAACTGCTCTTCTGGTTCAGTACCTGCCAAGGCACAGCGTCTTTAAGCCCAGTTGATGGATATGGGTGTCTCCTCCCTTGCTTGCTCCGAGGGCCTTATGGATAAGCAAAACTCGGGGGCATCTGAACCCCAAGCTTCCGGACTTGGGCCTGCACGTAGGACACCCACCAAAGGTTTTGGAAACATCATGAAGCCCCAGCGTGGGTGGAGGATGTTTGCCAGTAGTAGGGCCACTTATGGTTCTGGACTCCTGGATTTGGAATTAGTTTCGGTTAATTTGACCTTGGATACAAATTAAACAATATATATATAAATAAAAAAAGAGCCACCCCAGCTTCTCCAAGGATGATGACTAGAGGTCATCTTTCAAACGCCCGAGTCCACCCACAGCACCCCTGCAAGGGTGGCTGCCTCCTGCTTTAGTGGGACCCTGCAGCCTCCCTACTTCGTGACACAGGAGACTGGGCAGCATGGACTGACATCTGACACAGTCGAGGGCAACCCTTGTGTGATGGTTTTATGCCCAGGCCTGTATCTCCCCCCCACCAAGCCCATGAGCGGATCTAAGATTTTGAAAAGCAGGACGTGCATCCTCGCATAGACACCAACCCGTCTTTTTCTCCAGCTGAAGAGAAACTTGATGGCTTACAAATACGCTAGTGAGGCAGCACTCTACTATTCAGTTTTGAGATCAAAGCAAAAACAAATATAACTATTGGACCGCGTGCTAATTTGCTAGATTCTGCATGAAGTTAACAAAAAAAAAAGCCCACAGAAAACTAGGAGAACTGCTCTTCTGGTTCAGTACCCACCGAGGCACAGCGGCTTTAAGCCCAGTTGATAGAAATGGGGGTCTCCTCCCTTGCTTGCTCCAAAGGCCTTATGGCTGAGGGCAGGCAAAACTTGGGGGCAGCCAAACCCCAAGTCTCCGGGCTTGGGCCTGCACATAGGATGCCCGCCAAAGGTTTTGGAAACATCTGAAGCCCCCAGTGTGGGTGGAGGATGTTTGCCAGTAGTAGGGCCACTTATGGTTCTGGACTCTTGGATTTAGTTTTGGCTAATTTGGCCTGTACAGATAGATAGATAGATAGATAGATAGATAGATAGATAGATAGATGTATGTCTGTACAGATAGATAGATAGATAGATAGATAGATAGATAGATGTTTGTACAGCTAGATAGATAGATAGATAGATAGATGTCTGTACAGATAGATAGATAGATGTCTGTAGACCCTGTGCATCCAAACCAGGCAGTTCCGCGGATTGTGTCCTTCTCCCACGCCCCAGCTCTCTGTGCCTGGCCTTTCATGCGGGATTTCGGGCCCTTTGCCTAAGGTGATGGTGGCTGGGGGGTCTGGACTTGGTCACTGGATGCAGGGGGTGTCTGAAGGGCTGGGCGCGCCGGGGAGGTGGGATGCTGGCCTGGTGGAAGCTCAGCGCCCCGTATGTCAAGACACGGTTGGTTTGATTTGGGCACTGGAAATCATCATTGCGATGATAATAAAGCAGTGCAACCGG